ATCTACTTGGGTGCCATTTATGGTCTCTTTAGGGTATATTCCCAGTAGTGGAATTGCTGGGTCAAATGGTATCTCTATTTGCAACTTTTTGAGAAAAATGTCATTTTCAACTGAACTTTTGTCTCTTAGACTTGCTTACGTGGTCATTACATGGTCATATCTAAAATCTGAGTTGGCCACTATATCAAGGAATTGTAGCTGAAGCTCTTTTCTCAGGTGGGCTGGGCTCTCTTTTGGCCCCTTCATCACCTCAACCACTGAGCACGTTACTACTTTTCCATCAGGCTACTTGGCAACTCTTTGTCCTCTGCTCACAGCTCACAGAATTGTTTTCTTGACTTGGGTTTGTTGTAGTATCTGCTGGGGACTTTGAGGCCGGCGCTGCACAAACATCAAATTCCTGGGTGTCCTTGGGATGCAGTTTGAAAACAATTTCCACTTGGGAGTGATGGGTAGACCAAGGATAAAAGAGATTGAGAAGCTAGACCTCTTGCCCTCATGGCTAACATCATAGTAGGTATTGGATGCCATTTGTGCACGAGACTGTGTTGTTGCTGTGAGGAACAAGATGAGAAGCTTTTAGTCCTCACCCTCTTGGAGCTTCTTGGACCATAACAACCTCATAATCCTGTGCATAGCCATCAGGCAACTATATAGTTAGATGTTTTCAATTAAATATCTGTTTCATGTTCTATTTATTTTCTAATATATTTCTGTCCCATGTTTCATTTCAAATAGATTTGTGTTCAAAGATTCTTCATCTCTGGAAGAATCTTAGTTGTGACATACAGTAAGGCTTGTGTGCTGTTGACAGTTCTTGTAGAATATATTTCCCTCACTTTTTAGGGACAGCACTCAAAGAAGAGGCATCTTTCTAGGTTGATGGGGGGGAGGGCAGATATTTCCTTGGGTTTTAATTCCTGCCAGAACAAACTATCTGGACACAAAAACTTCTGTTAATCACTGGGTGGCCCTGTTGAGAAGACTCTCTTTGCCCACAAGTAAATTTAAATGTTCGCCTGGAGGCTCTTGGGTGAATTTTAAGTTGAACATTGTCTAGGCCAGACTTTTTCAGGCTGTCTCAGATTCCATTAGTTTCCCATTCCTCTAAACACTCCTGTATAATATAGTACAACATCACAGACTCTGCTTAAATAAAAGTCAACAATGTTTACTGAGGGTTGGAGATAGGTTGTGGGAAATGTCCATTGCCACAGAGTGGAAATGGCTGCAGAAAAGGGGGTACATTTTTATGTCATTGAAATGAGAACTGAAGGCTACATAATTAATAAATTCATTCATTAATGACAATCAAGGAAGTTAAAGATGATAAAGTTGCAAATAGAAATATCATTTGACCCAGCAATTCCACTACTGGGGATATACGCCAAAGAAACCATAACCATCACCCA